GGTCTATCCGAGTTAATTTGTTGAATAAAATTAAAGGGGTAAGTACCTGAATAATAAAAACAAATTGTCATTGCACTTGGACAATTTTTTGACACTGAGTTATGGTATTAATCGATATTCGATTTTCGGTACTGATTTATTCTTCCACTTCTCTATAAGAAAAAAAATTCATACGAATCGTTCATTTATCCGCGTTAATTTGATGAATAAATTAAATATTGATCAATCTTCGGTTTTCGGTACTGATATATTCTCTCATTTCTTTATAAGGAAAGAAAAATTGATACGGATCGTTCTTTTATCCGACTTAATTTGTCGAGTAAATTAGTGGGGTATGTATCTAAAAAATAAGAACAAATTGTAATTGCACGTGGACAATTTTCTGACGTTGATTACGGTATTGATCAATATTCGATTTTCGGTACTGATTTACTCTTTCATTTCTCTATAAGAAAAAAAAAATTCATACGACTCGTTCATTTATCCGCGTTAATTTGATGAATAAATTAAATATTGATCGGTCTTCAATTTTCGGTACTGACTGATTCTCTAATTTCTTTATAAGAGAATAAAAATTGATACGAATCTTTCCTTTATCCGACTTAATTTGTTGAGTAAATTAGTGGGGTAAATACCTGCAAGATGAAAACAACTTGTCATTGCACTTAGACAATTTTCTAACGCTGATTTATAGTATTGATCAATATCCGGTTTTCGAAACTGATTTAGTCTTTGATTTCTCTATAAAAGAATAAAAGATTGATACAAATCGTTTGTTTATTCACGTTAATTTGATGAATAAATTCGATATTGATCGGTATTCGATTTTCGGTACTGATTTCTCCTTTCATTTTTCTATAAGAAAAGAAAAATTTCAGACGAATTGTTCATTTATCCGCGTTAATTTGATGAAAAAATTAGATATTGAACGGTCTTCGATTTTCGGTACTGATTTATTCTCTCATTTCTTTATAAGAGAAGAAAAATTGGTACGAATCGTTCGTTTAACGGAGTTAATTTGTTGAATAAGATTAGAGGGGAAAGTACCTGAAAAATGAGAACAAATTGTTATTGGACAATTTTCTGACACTGGTTTATGATATTAATCGGTATTCGATTTTCGGTACTGATTTACTCTTTCATTGCTCTATAAGAAAAGAAAAAATTGATACGAATCGTTCATTTATCCGCGTTAATTTTTTTTTTATTATATATAAGTGGTCCATGGGACGATTAAATATTCGAATACATGTTGCCGTATCAAAGCCTCCTCTATAACAAACGATTTGACATGTCTGGAGACGCATGATGTGTCGTTGCCCGCATCCCATTCCCTTCATCCTGCTTCCCTGTATAAAATGTCGAATTGAGACGTATTAAAAAGTATTGACATTTTGAATATGTCTGAATTCTGAATCTTTTTGATCCGAAGAAAAGGATTGAAAAGTATTAGTTCCCATTAAATTTTACTGCGCTAAATGCGAGACGGTCTCTTTCGCCCGGGTGCCTCACCAGGAAAATTTCTCTGGTACGCTAAATCCCGTAAGGCCATCAGGCTTTGTAGTATATCTCGTCGGTGCATAAGGTTTATATTACCTGTACATACATATTTTGAAACATTTTCTTTGGATATTACATCAAACGGGTTTTGCGTGTCACGTAATAATATCCTTCGGACTATACACGGACATTATTATTTTGATCATTTTGATTTCTTTGGTATTCATTGAATTACCCAGAACACGCAACTGCCATGTTGAACGACTCAATTGTCGTGTGAAATGTTTCGATTTTCACAAATTCATATAAAATTTTTCATTTTTCATTGATTCACAGAAGTCTTTCACTTCTTATTAGTTCACGCTAGGGAAAAAATTCATGATCGCTGCCCCGAGCAGCTGCAACGCTTTTCGAATCATCTATGTCGGCGCGCTTTCACTCCTCAGATTTCTGTCATTAATAACTCGATAATTATTGCGAATCTCGCAAAATGGTATGGGACTTTTATGTTTGTCTCAACCCAATCTACCCTCACACTTCGAGTTGGCAGCTAATTACCGGACACTTCGTATAATCTTCATGATATTAATCATACACAAAGTCAATTCTTTTTTTTGCACATGTTAACATGTTAATTCATGTTATAAACGCGTAACAATGTGCGAGACCGTGCTTGTCAAGTACGCTATTATGGTTGTAGCACGGACATAAACCGCCTAAAAATGGATGTAGCACGGACTGCCACCACATACAGGTTTTACCGCTGAAACCTGAAAGTGGATGTAGCATCGTAGTTCCCCTCTCAAAATGGGTGCAGATGACGTCCTTTCCCAGTGTGAAAAGTCGGTGTTGTCGAAAACACCGTGTTGGCCGCTTTCACGTTCCTCTCTGATACAATCTGATGCAATAACCGGACCACTTCATTGCATCTTATGTACGGTCGCGGACATAATAGTAAGAGCCCGTTTTTTTGCAACTTTCGGAACGCATCCCGACTCGAGAAGAATGAGAGTGACTGCTCCGCCTGTGAAGCACGCTTGCGCAGTGACTCACAACGAAAAGCAATTGATATATACGCGGTGGGACATATTGACTTGTGCATTCGTTGCAGCTGATGATTCATCTCGTCCATCTCTTTCAGAAGACTTTAAAGTGGAAGTCATATCTTAAAACGATATCTCACGTATCATTTCCACGCTTGGGTGGAAAGGTAAATATCTATAATTATAAAACATAATTGATATCATAATTATATTATTATGATTTTTTGTTCTACCTGGGATTATGCAGGGGTCGCTTATAGTTTCTATTATGAAATTATGATATAAAAAAAGTAATTTTAAGTCATTTTAATTATAAAACATAATTATAGATATTTACCTTTCCACCCAAGCGTGGAAATGATACGTGAGATATCGTTTTAAGATATGACTTCCACTTTAAAGTCTTCTGAAAGAGATGGGCGAGATGAATCATCAGCTGCAACGAATGCACAAGTCAATATGTCCCACCGCGGGTATATTTCATTTCTCGCCTTTCGTTGTGAGTCACTGCGCAGGCGTGCTTCGCAGGCGGAGCAGTGACTCTCATTCTTCTCGAGTCGGGATGCGTTCCGAAAGCTGCAAAAAAACGGGCACTTACTATTATGTCCGCGAGTGTACCGTACTGTACCTGACTGTACCGTAAATAAAATTATGCAAAATTATGTGCAGAGAGAAACCTGAGAGCGGCCACTGGACCGAATACACTGGGACGCTTTTCCCGCCAAATTCCGTCGCACCCCCTGAGAAAATGTGGAAGAAAATGAGAAAAAAAATAAAACGGCATGCCAGAATTTGAAACCCTCTGCTTTAGTGCAACATACTAGCTGCTTACCTCCACGACCATCTTACATTCTTGAGATTGAAAGTTTTAATATCTCTACTTGAGTACAATATTTATGTATTAAACTGTTTACTTTTCTCCTGCAAACACTCAACAATCCATTGTATAATTTTGCACGCTGATTCGTAAAAATCTCAACAAAGAAATATTTCCGAAATCAGATGGATATATCAATTCCCTTGCGAGAAGATGAATATCTCAAATTACTGATATCATTTAAATTATTAGCGTTAATAAAATTATTTAATATTAATAATAATTAAAATATAATAATTATTGCATATTAACATTTACAACGCATATGCATATTATGTTCATAACTGAATATAAAAATTATAAAATTGAATATAAAAATTATAAAAATAGCCATCCCCATTAGCGTCATTTTGTATCGTTGCTAGAAGTTGTCCGCGCGGTCTCGAAATATTTCTTCTCGAATTGCGGGTAGTGAAAAATGCATCGCGTGAAAGATGAGAAGATGAAGGGGTAAGACGGGGGAGAGATTCTAGTTTAGCGATAGGATCTGCCGCTGACTCGCCTCATGCCTCCTTCTGCCGCGCGGCCGCTCATAGGTGGTGCGATAAAGACAGAGAGCGGTTGATCGTCTATGTTTTTCTATCTTATTATCTTCCTTAAGGAAATAGAGTGAACAAGAACCGTGCACGCTTTACCGTTATCGTCAGGACGGGCGTAGTATGCACACATTTTCTCAGGGAGCGCGTCCCGGCGTAACCGGCCCAGTAGCCGCTCTCAGGTTTCTCCCTGCTACAACTGCGTTTCTAGGGAGATATTCACTGCCAATACTGAAAATACATAGTTTGTGTCATATATACTGCAGATTTTCAGTGCTGGCAATGAATATTGGAACGCAGTCTGTGTCTGGCTGTATAATTACTACGCTACAGGTTAGACCCGTTATGCTTTGATCCTTTATTTGCGGCACTCTTAGTTCTAAACTTTCTCCGCTACGAGCCGCCACTGTTTTTAACGGAGAATCGAGGTCATAATAAAACTCGATGAATCATTGAAAAAGTTTCCGGTCCTGTTAAATGACACAACTGCAATCGACTAATACGAATTATCTGCCGCGCGTGGAAAGGGCGTGGAAACAATATTTATATAAATAATATATTTATGTTATGGAAATATAGAGTTTATACATCGTTAAATATGTTGTACTTAACGAAGATGGGCCACGTTGCGCTTTCATACTACTTCGTCCCATAACTGACTCTTTACGTACACATATACACATATATATATAATATATAAACTTCTATATACATATATTATACATACTTTGTGTTTACATAAAACGTTACGGTGTATCTGTGAAGATCGCATTGAACATCGGGACATTATATTATATAAAAGGAAAAAGAAAACATAACTCTCTGTCTCTCTCCTTCTCTCTTATAAATCAACTCTAACGTAACAGACTAATTAGGATGCAAAAACCAATTATCTCGAAATTTCTGAGTAACTTTTAAATATATTTACAGGCGTGTAAAACAAACATTTCCGGTTGGAGCTCCTCCGGCGTATTAGCACTCGGTATTTACAGCGACGCTGGTCGCCAAAATGGAATCAGGAACGTTACCTGCGGGAGCGTGTCGATTAAGGCACCGCGATTAATAAGGAGTCGCGCTTACCGCGCTAGCTTGACAATTGTCTCTGATTAACGATCCGACCGGTGCGATATCGGTTTCGGCCGGCTACTTAAAGCGGATTGAGCAACCTATTGTTCGATCACCGACTGCCTCCGTCTCGCTATACATCATTACGGTGTATTAAAATATATTTGGTTTCGCAGTCTGATCCGAAGAGCGACCTTGGCTCGTCCTTTCCGACGGTCGGTCGCTCCCTTTGTCGATTTCGTGAGGTTATCGTCGCGAGTCGCGGCCGGAATCCGCGTGTTTTCTTCGTCCGAGCCGCGTTTTAGGACGACGACGACGACGACGACGACGACGACGACGACAAGGAATGATAATTTGCAGCGATGCGTAAGGATTATCCTTTCCTCCCTTCGTTTTTGGTCTCCCACCGAGCCGATTAGTCAATCTACTTGTTAATCGTCAAGTCTAACGGCAGGTCCTGCTCCATCTCGGTGACGCCCTCGTTCTTCACCCTGAGGCCGCAGGTGTTGGCGGTGTCGGTGATGTTGCACCACATGTTCCGCAGGCCGTACTGCAGGTCCATCGTGTTCAGCAGGTGCCGGAAGAGCGGGTCCTGCGTCTTGAGGATAAAGTCGGACAGGAGCTTCGACTTTTCGAGGATGCCGTCGTTGCTGTGCACGCAGCACTTGTGCCGGCAGCAGCAGTCGCCGGCGGTGTCCTTGTACTCTTCCTTCAGCGGTGTGTGTTCCATCTGCACCTCCATCTTCACATCCTCCGCGCGCTTGATCACCGTGTGCCTCACCGGGTCGCAGCTGATGGGACTCTCCTTCTTGCAGGGCGTGCTGTTGACGATCGAGTCGATGTTCCTGTAGTCTACCGTGCTGGTGGTGGTGATGGTGGTGGTAGTCTTGGCGCCGCAGTCCATCGGCTCCTCGGTTTTGATGGGCGTCGACTGCATGCCGATGCGGGACATCGTGTCGGACACGCGACCGGGACTCGCGTGTGGCGACGACACCGCGGAGCAGTCCTTGATGATGGTGTTGCCGGCGGAGGCGTACATGGGATTCACCTGGATCCTCTCCGGTATGATGTAGCTATCGTCGTACATCGCTTGATAGATCTTCACGTCCTTCTCGGCGTACGTCTTCGGCGGGCTGATCACCGGCTGCTGCTCTTGCTGCTGCTCCTTCCGCTGCTCCTGCAGATTGTACATGTTGTTCCACTCGACGAAGTTGCGCTGTTCCTCGAAGCTGTTGCTGGCCTTCGGGCTGGAGACCGAGGTGTTGTTGCTCTCGATGCTCGAGTCCTTCTTCGAGTCCGACTCGGAGTGCGCGCTGCTGCTCTGCTTGTCCGGCGAGTTGGCGTCGTACCTGATGGGCATCTTCTCCGGATGCACGTTGCCGTCGTCAAAGCTCTTCTCCTGCACCTTGTCGTTGTTGTTCACGTAGTGGCGATAGGTCTTGACGTGCTTCCTCAAGGACGACGGGTCGGTGTACCTCTTGGGGCAGCCTGGTACCTTGCAGCAGTACGGCTTGTCCACCGAGTGCGTCCGGGTGTGCTTGAATCGGTCCGAGGAGTTGGAGTAGGCCTTGTTGCAGCCTGCGACCGGGCAGACGTACGGGCGCTCGCCGGTGTGCGAGCGCGCGTGAATCTTCAGATTCTCCGCCCGGCTGAAGCTCTTGTCGCACTGGAAGCAGTGGTGCGGCTTCTCGTTCGTGTGCGTGCGCACGTGGACCAGCATCTTGTACCTGCGGATGGCACGAACGACGGTTAGAAAGATGCACGAAAAATACAGTAACGCGAACGCATCGACGTAGTGACCTTGAAGGGACCTTACCTCGCGTTAAAACCGCGTTCACCCCTCGGGCAGCCTTCCCATCCGCAGTAGAAGAGACCCCGCGCGCCCGGTGCCGCGTGCAACCTCGCAACGTGACCCGCGAGCTGCTCCAGCGACGCGAATCTCTTGTCGCAATTTTGCCATCTGCAAAGAAAGAAGCAAATTTCCATATTTTTTGTTTCCCAAAAAAAGTTGCCTCGTGTGTTTTACAGTATCTCGTATATTTCACGACTGAGGTTGGGAGAGAAGTTACCTTCGAAAAGTAGCTCGTTAGCGTTGCAATTTCGTCTTCAAGGCAAACTCGAATACCTTCTCTTAGGATTATTCGCCTATTTCTCAAACATGTACTCTACGTGCGCAAAGTAACGAATACATTAATTACAGTCGCTCGGAAAACGTAATTATGTCACCGCTTGAAGGAAAAAGGAAAAAAAAAACCGTTACCAAGTCGTTGCTGCAGCGAGCGACTTGCAACGGTAAAACGGGGTCACAAGCGCGACGTGTCACTTCCCAGGCCAGTTCATACACATTCTGTCGGTCCGAACGAGCGAACGAACGAACAAACATTCGGCGCGCCGCGAAATCGGCGGACATTCGGCGGCCGTCGACGCGCGACACGCGAGTCGTGACTAACCGGCTAAGGCGACGCGTAAATATAGCATCGCGGCTTAGAGGAGGCGCACTGAAATATCGACATGTGATTTGCGTCACGAGCACGTACGCTGACTCGTCCAATTGATACTAATTCCGGCCATTTTGCAATTGCCGCCGGTTGACACCAGTTTATCCGTAGGAGACCGCAGTTCGGGTACTATTCCAGCCAACGACTGCGAGTCCCGCCAATTAACAGGCACCGATCCGCCCGCGAGAGGTCGCGGATCGAGGTGATTCCGAGTGTGATTTGATCGGGCCGGACCCCCGTCGCGGGTCTTGCCTTCAATTTTGGTGGCTCGCGACGCGGTCGAGAACCGCCGAGAACCGGCGATGCGCGCGCGCCGTCGCCGCAGTATATTACAGCCGTTATAAATTAAATCCGCCGTTATTACCTCATATGAGGTCGACGCGTAGCGCACTATATATAAAATGGCCCTGACCAACCGCACTCTTTTTTTCGTCGGCGAATAAAGCGCCGCGCGGGCTCGCGACGGCAAAAAGAAGTCACGTCGTCGTTCCTGACACGAAGTACGGTTGTGACGGGAGATTCTCGACGAGAACGAGCGATTCGTGAGAGGGAGAAGAGGCGGCGACGGGGGGAGGGGAGGGGGGGGCGGGAGAAAGATTTAATGTAAACACACGCTGAATTTACAGAGTAGATTCGAAAATGACGCATGATACTCTTCGTGATAAGGAAGTGCTTCAGATTTCACGTGCGCATCATGTGGAAGAAGCGGCTGCTTCGCGTAAATCGTAACAGTGGGCTTCCGTCCCTCTCTACCCCCGCCCCTGCCGCCGATAATGCTCGTAGTTTGATGTACTAGAGTCGCTAACGTCGAGCGATAAAAGCGAGTGCCTCTGCCGACGCGTCATTTCGTGTGTTAGAAAGATAAACCGGTTGCGAAACGAGTGTATGTGTGCGTGCTCGAATAACACAGCGTTTAGCGGCCGTCGCTTTGTAATAATCATCGAAGCGCGCGTGCTCGGTTTCTTTTCCTCGCCGCTCATTATCCGAAGGCAGTCGTTATCATCCCCTAGTGTTGAGTCTAAAATTTTATCGTCAGCTTAAGCCTCGTAAACTTTGGATACCAAACCAAGCCGGCTTTGTGAGCTGCTTGTTCGTCGCGTCAGCGACTGTCGTTTCGATCGACAAAAAAAAACGCACGCGACATCATCGAGAAAACGAGCCCGCGAATTTTTAAACATGCGCGGAACCGCTCGCGGATGGAAGACGCGTCGTCGTTTCTCGCGCCGTGGTCGCGAAGCGAGTCGCAGAATTTTCTCTGAATCCGAGGAGCGGAAAGCCCCTTTCCGATATCAGCCGGAGATACGGGAAACTGGTTGCAACCGGTACGCACGCGGCACGCGCGTATATCGAAGAGCCGCGCGCGTATTCGCGAGTCTACACCGAGATAAATAAATTAGAGCGTTGTTCTCGCGAGAAGAATCGCGAGCGCGACGTCACGCCCGATCGGCCGATCACGCGAGACGCAGACGCCTGGAGTTACCTTGTGCGTCTCGGCGTCTTATCGTCTCGATTTACCACAAAGTAGAATATGAAGAGTCCCGAGATTAGAAAGAGTCCACACGCCGGCAGACACGGCGATAACGAACGCGAGATAACGCAGATACAAGCGAGAGAATGTAAATAGAAAATTAATGTAAATAGAGAAGAGCGTTAAGGAAGGTGCAAAGTACAGAGAAGCCCGAGGGAATGCGGCGTCAGCCGCGGAGGGCGCGGGGGGGGGGGGAGGGGCGAAGCTCGACGTTAGCGACGATAAAGATGAAGATTCCAGCGTGTCGATTGAGATACGAGGGAAATTTTTTCATTCATGTGTCTTACGCGACTTCCTACGTACATGTGTGTGTGTGTGCGTGTGTGTCTCTCCCTCCCCCCTCTCTGTCGCAGAGTTATCACGCAGCGAACGAGAGGCTATCTCCGCACTGTGTATAAACCCAAATCGTAAACAAGCGTTAGACCAATGCTGAGCTGAAATGTGACGCGAATTATGCACGAACGGCTCTCCGCGACGGCGGCGGCGGCGTCTGGCGAAGATAGCGAATTCGCCCGGAGATGCGAGAACGCGATGTCGCGTCTCCTTATCAGGCCCCGACGCTATCTTAATTGGTCCTTTAACAACAATAATAATGGCGCGTGAGAGTGCAGTGCACCCGCGGAAAAATATGTCCGGTGCCGCGGCCGACCGCTCCGGGCGATCTTTGACTTCGCGCTCGCGAGTTCGCAACTCGCGACGCGAGGGACCACCGCGAGAGAACCACTGCGATCTCTTTGCGCCAGCGTTATTTCCTATTTCGCTCGCGAGCGGCGCGATCGCGATCCAATTAACACGATTACAGAACGCAACCCACCCCCCCGCCCCCCACCGATCGCGAGTAACGGGTTAAACGCACAGCGTCGAGAGGGAGCCGGAATAATCCGAGCGAATATGACGAACACGCGCTTCGCGGATCGATTTGCCGTTTTTCTCTTTGACGATGCAGTAGTGACTTCGGACAGTTGTGAGAACGATGAAAATAGAGCATTGAAACGATAAGAGAGGAGATAATGAAATAAAAGTCGAAATGATCAATCACAGCACGGCAACGCGCGCTGAGTAACGAGCTCGCGTACGAGTCGACGATCGACACGCAGCTCGCGGCGACACTTCAGCTCCGCTTACCTGCACTTCAACTGAGCGTTCTCGGCCCCCCTGATGGAGCCCAGCTCCAAACTGGAGCTGGACGCGTCCGAGTCGCTGTGCGCCGGGCTCGGTGGGCCGCCGTTGCCGAGAGCGCCAGGAGACACGCCGAGTCCGGTCAGTCCGGCGGACGGAGAGGAGTTCCCCAGTTCCTCCTCGGCCGGCATCCTTCGCGGCCAAACCGGAAGGTCCAGCTGCTGGTGGTGCTGGATGCTGATGCTCCCGTAGTAGCTCGAGCTCGGGCTGGTGGAGTAGCCGGAAACCGGGTTGTAAAAACCCGGGACAGGTCCTAGCAGGGTGCCCGGGTAACGAGCGGCGCCGTAGGGACCAACGTGAGTTGGCATTCTGCCCGGAACGTAAACGATCATGTTTGTCTTTTGTTTTTCGCTCTTCTTTTGCCTCGCGATCGTCTTTCTTTCCGCTCCTCCTCTCTCTCTCTCTCTCTCTCTCTCTCCCTCTCTCTCTCTCTCTCTCTTTCTCTCTTCTCCGACTTTATACCGACTTCACCGATTTGACCAAAGACGTGCAGATTTCTCTCGATCGCCCGCCTTAATTAGCGAGACTCTGTTTAATTCGCGTTTTATGCGGCTCGATTATGCGCGCGTCGATGTGTACATGTGTGCATATATTTGTATGTGTATGTGTATGTACCGCCGCGAAAAGTCAATGTGAGACGCGTCCCCGTGTGTGTCCCTCTCTCTCTCTCTCTCTCTCTCTCTCGCTCTCCGTCGTTCGCTCGAAGGCGGAATTCCCGAGTGATTTCGCTTTCCGCTCTGATCCTGCCGCTCGATCCTCGCTTTTAACGATCATTCACGAGCCAATGTACAGGCGCATCGTGGCCCTCGAGCGGTGTCGCCGCTCTAGATGAATCGCAGCGGCCTGACTCCGGCCGCCAAGATGCTCCGCTAATGAACGCCGATAGTCGATTTTCCCGATTGTAAAGCTCCCTCAATGACAAAACTCTCTCTTCAACGAACCCTCCGCGCAACCCTGAGGCTTGCGGTGAAATTTCAACGAATTATCCTCCCTGTGGATTTTTCACTTGTCCCGCTCGCGGGATCCCGCAGCGATAAACACCCTCGTATCGAATTATAATTAAGAACAATGAAACTCGAGGCTAATTTCGCTTGAGACAGAGACAATCTCTCTCCTTTCCTCTGCCAGACTCGCGTCAGATTCTCGCCCCCCGAAAATCTTCGCCGTGCCAACGATCGTCGATGACGCCGAGAGCGTCCGTCGGCTAATCGTCCTGCTGCCGTCAACAAGTCCTCGTCGCCGTGAAAAGCGACCCGACCATCGAACTCTGGCACAAGACTTTCCAGGTCTTGCCGGAACACCGTCCTGCCAGCCCTCCTCAGCACCGTAGGTACAAGTCGACCGCGCGCACACACACCACCCAGATCGCACTCTTTACCACGTAGTCCGAGTCCGTATCGTCAGATGTACTTGAACCGATTGGACTTGAGTATACGGTAACTCAGGAATTGCTTGCTGTACTCGATCGAGAACATAACTGGGCCGGAGCGCAGCGAGCGAGTCATAAGACACTGCGTGTCCGTCGCGTTACCGAGGACAGTCTCCGCGCGTGTTATTTTGCCGGAATCGCGAGGTGAGCCGAGCCGAGAAACGGCCAAGGATAAAAAAGTCCGGGCTCGGTCGAGAGCGCGAGGTCGAGGTGGCTCGAGCACGAACACCGAGCTCAACGACAGACAGCTCAACGAGGTCGCGGGGGGTGCCGGCGAGTGCTAAGAGAGTCCCATCCTTCCTGCAATTGTTGCGTTGCCCGCTGACGGCCGACTCGGTGAGAACGACGAGACCGAGGGCGAGAGGAGGCGAAGAGTCGCGCGGATCGAAGCTCGAGGACGAAGCTCGACGGTGAACTTCGCCGGACTCGAGTCGCGTTAACTCGGCTGTCTCTCTCTCTCTCTCTCTCTCTCTCTCTCTCTCTCTCTCTCTCTGCCCCCTGCGTCTTTCCTTTGCTCCTTTGCTCCTTCTTCCCCTCCTCCCTCGTCTTCTTCCTCAGCTTCTGAGTAGCAGGTCGAAACGACGACGCCCGGGCCGCTTGTCGCCGATTACAGCACCGTTTCTCGGCTACTCGAGTTCGGAGAGAAAGAGAGACACGACGAGAGACGGCCACTTGAACGCAGGAACGTTAGCGTTAGAGACAGGGAACATGAAGAAGATCGAACTGATGGCGGTGACGAATACGCGGGCTTATATAGCCGCGCTATCGCTCCAATCGCCCCTCCATGTGCATTGCCACAATACACAGCGGAATGATAACGCAGTACGTACGTCGTGTACACATCGACCACATCGGCCCCTTGCGGCCGTCTCGTGGCTCTCTGGGAGCGAGAGAGAGAGAGAGAGAGAGAGAGAGAGAGAGAGAGAGAGAGAGAGAGAGAGAGAGAGAAAGAGCCGCTGTCAAGCCGCGCGACTCGAAGACGGGTCTAATTGAACGGCGTTATAAAACAGATGCTCCGCAGCGTATTCGTCTCGCGACGTGGTTCCTAATTTTTCACAAGTGCTCTGTCTCTCTCCTCTCTCTCTCTCTCTCTCTCTCTCTCTCATGCCAATTATTAAGCGCTACGTAATCGCGAGGCTTTTCATCGTTTCACTCCAAGATCATAAAAATAGCTCCGATTTAACGCCAATAGTGCACTCTCGATCTACTTAAACTTTGAACTCGGGAAGCGTCTCGGTGGGGGGGGGGGGAGGGGGGACTAATAATCCGTGGAGAGTTCCGAGAAGATGGGACCACGGGGACGTGGGCGAACAAATTACGCTTCTTCCGCGTAGGGAGGTCGACCTTGTCGGCAGAGCGCGAGAGGACCTTGTCGAGAAGCGCGCTCGTGCGCTCACCAAGACGTCTTCCGAATCGTCCTGTAAACGCTCGGCCGACCGGACGAGGACCGAGTCGCGTTGACTCGCAGGTTAGAAGAGGACGCGCTGCGAGATACAGAGAGTCGCTTTCTTTCTCGGCGCGCTACCCCCCGCGGAGTGCTCGCTAGCCGCCGAAATCGACGCGCCGATCCCGCCCTCTTCTCACGCGGTCCGCTGTTGATCGCGGCCTGACCGCGGTCGCGGTCGCGGCGCGTTCGCCCGGGGAACAAAGTCCTCGTCCGCATGCCCGTATATCTATATCTGGAGAACCGCCGGCGACGGCGCGCGTTATCTGCGGAGTATTAGCGCATCGGCGTGAATGAGCGAGCTGAGTCGCAAGCTGAGTCAACAGAGAGAACGCCGCTCGCGGCCGTGTAATTTCTTCTTCGCGGCGGGCGGAATCACGCGCTCGCGAAAATGACGACAGCGTCCCTGAATGACGAGACCGGCTCCCCGGGTCTCGGCTCTTGCGGTCCGGGGGGCCTCCGGTCATTAGGAAGTGCTCATTCGTTCGCTCGCACGTCCTCGTCGTCGTCGTCGTCGTCGTAGTTTCGAAAGGCGTGATCCGACTATCGAAGGTCGCCGTGCTCATAGGAGAACACGTTTCCGTCGCCCGGTGACGCAATTGATAACGAGAGGCAGGAGGAGCGAGATTCGCAGCCGGCACTGTCAGACAGAGAGAGAGAGAGAGAGAGAGGGAGAGAGAGAGAGAGAGAGAATGAGAGCGATTAGAGCGTCGACGAAGATCGCGAAGATAGCGACGAGCGGATAAAGAACAACAATATCTGGCCGCAGGCGCGAGCGTCATAATTGGACGTCGTCGGCGACGATCTCGTCCGAGAACGCGACGTGACCTCGGAGATCAGCCGGATCGTTAGCTAACGCGACGCTGACATCGTGCAAGAATACGCGCGACCTGCGGCGCAACTCCGACGGGGGCGTTTTTTCAGGATTCTTCAAGATTAAAGTATCAATGCCGGGGCATGTACTTGTCTCTGGACGTTCTTATTGTTCCGGCCTTTAAATTCGAATACTCAGAGGCCAAAGTACAATAAGAACGCGTAGAGTTAGGTACACGTGCCTTGGCATTGGTATTCGATAAGCTCGTGTAAGAGATCACTACCAAGAATTCAAAGTCGACGCTTTATTGTTGAGCATTACTTTGTTTCATAACGTATCTCGCTTTCCCTCGATGTCGTTTTCTCGATGTCGGGGGAAAATTTACAAAAAGAAATAAAATAAAATAAAATTATGCTCGACCGTGGGAACATCATCCTAGAGCTCTTCGTAAAAATCTCTTTACCTTGCTTGGTTTTTACCTTGCGTCTTGTAACAGACTTCACGTCGAATATAACGATAGAAAGAGAGAGGTATAAAATGATGCAAAAAAAAAAAAAAAATTACGACAGAAGAAAGAAATGGAAGAAAAGCCGGGAGGATAGACGTACGCGTTATCACATCGGGAGATGACGGGGACGATCGTCGTTCCATGGCGCGGGATATTGCCGCGCGGCACGGAGGAAAAATTCCGCGTTACATAATTGGACTTGTCACGGATCAATTGCCGCGACAACATACGCGCTCACCGAGCAATTTCGTGAACCGCGATTGGCCGCGGCCTGCGAGCTCTCGTAAACACTGACCGGTTCCAATCGTTATCTCAATACGCGGAATGGACGCGCTAATTGGCAGCCGACATTTCCTTTGAGCACGGTCGCTCGTCGGTACCTTTCGCCGGAACGGCAGGGTGCCGGAGGGGGGATAGCGGAAGAATTAATCACAGGGATAACTCGGAAACACGCGTACGCGAGGCTAATTTCGTCCTCGTCGTGACACACGTCAGCGTCGCGCACGTCGTACGCGACAGACATTTTCCGAGAACGAGAGAGAGAGAGAGAGAGAGAGAGAGAGAGAGAGAGAGAGAGAGAGAGAGACACTCGATTGTCCCCGTGGCACTCCGCGCGTAAGAGCCGCCGAGTAATTAACGGCGCTATCAATCGCGCCGTTTAATCCCCCTGGCCCCGTTGTAAATCGTAACGTCGGCAGCGATTTACAGGGAGCGCGTCGCGCCCGAGGAAAACATGTTTCTCGCAGACAGAACAGATGTCGTAAAAGCGCACCACGTGCGCGCCCAATAATGCCCCATTCTCCACGGATGAAAAGTCAAACGAGACCGGGTCTCGTTCGCCGCTCCCGAGGCGGGAAGAATCGCCTCGCGGGGTACCAAGCAGCGGCGCACCCTCGGCACCGTCGCTTCGCCACGCGGAACAAAACCCGGAAAAGCCGGCGACTATCTTCGGCTACAAAAGGAAGATGGACCTGGTGACCCGTGAGAAATTTCCCTTTTCCCTGCGCTGCGCTGCACTGCGCTGTGCTGTGACGTGCTGGCGTGTCGTCGCTTTGTTCGGCCTTTGGAGCGATTGATTTACGACTATACACCGGGCGTCGTCTTAATGACCGCGTTCTCTTCTCTTCTATCGCTCTTCTTTATGAGGAACATGAAGAAATCTTCGCGTCTCTCTCTCTCTCTCTCTCTCTCTCACTCTCTCTGTCTTTTGCTCGCGCGACGATGTATCCGGTGATATCGCGAGCCACAAATGCCGGCTGGCTGGTAACGATGCCTCATTCGCTGGGGTGCTAATTGAACGGCAATCTAATCTCGTCGCGACTCACAATCCGTGCGTCTGGCTGCGTGTTGAAGTGGTAAACAAGTTCAAGCATATCGAGATCAAGATCCACCTGTTGCTATCGACACGAGCGGTTCTCAACGCCGCGGGCTAGCGATCGTTAGCGCTCGCTAGACACTCGCCGAGATTCGCTCTTGTCTTTCATCGAGTCGATCGGAGAACAACTGAGAAAGAGGCACGTACCAGTTTTGTATGCCAGTCCTAAGTAAATTTTCGCTCGCAACTTCCTCATGGGGCAGGGAGGGGGCAGCGGGGTTTTTCAGAATCCCGCTGCGTACCTCAATATCTAGCCGTCGAAGAAAGCTGAAGGAGCAGTTTTGCAAGCGCGTACGTGAGAAAAAACGAGCATTCCCGCGTTATCGCGCTGACTTCCCGATAACACCGTTGAGGGGGTCCTCTTGCATTTATTGCCGCCGATAAATGAGTAAACATAAATTTAACGACGACCGTCCGTTCTTTTTATATCGCGACTCGATATCGCGTTTACCGGTATTATTATTGCCCTGCCTCGTATGTTGCAAGAATATTTTTCCTTTCGTCGGGGCTCAGCATCGCGTGGCTCCGCAAGGTGGATGAAATGTGTACGCAGGTTGCGCGAATAAAAATATATAATTAATGCGTTTTTTCTCCTTCTCTTCCCTCTGTCCTCCTGCCTCCTCTCCGCCGGGACGTCCTCGAAGAAATGACGTCGAGAAATTGCTATAAATACCTCGATGATTGGCGCGACAAGACAAAGGATGCTGAATGAAGTCGTATAATCTTCCTCGGCTGAGGGTCGGGTTAGATGCCAGACGGCCGATAGCCGTCGAAAAAATGGAGGATTGACCGGGGAACACGAACGCTATTGTCCTGCGATCTTAACATCGAAGATGATCTCCGCCGCGTCGTCGTCGTTCTAAACGATCCGCGTCGAATCGCTCGTCCCGATTACGTTTTATGAGTTTCCGTCACAATTTTATTCAACGTCCTATTTTTCCTCGGGGAAACCCGAGAGGAGAACGGAGAGAGAGAGAGAGAGATACTTTGTCCGTACGTATGAGAGGAAAATCTCCCGACCAATAAGTAAGCGATTCTTATCGTGTCGTTCGTCTCGGAGAGACGTTTCCGTAAGCTTCACCGCGCTTACGTCTCCTTCGATTTGATTCAGCCCTATTCGGAAAAGCCGAAGACGAGATAACGAAAAGCGAAAATACTTTTCTCGATACGTACGAGAAACGAACTTTTGACTGACATCGACAAATGTCGCAAGGCGACGATCCCGAGTGAAGTTATTCGTGACAGGCTGTTCGAGTTTCCCCCGTCCGAGGATTGGCCTCATTTCCTCAGGCACCTCCGCCTCTTTCACGTGAAGTCGTTAGAGGCTCCGACGGCCAACGGGGGCCCCCGATCGATTTCACAGGCGCGCTATGATTTATACCGGGATGTCGGCCGATGCTCGATTCCTGATTCATCCTCCGAGAAGTACCCCCAGCAACCTTACCACGGCGCATTAATGAATATTGTATGGCCACCTTTCGGCCCTATCTGCCCTCCCCTCTTGACCCTCCCTACAACCGCCGGTTCCCACCCTTCATCTCGGATGACACCCCACGGACCGAGCTGCTGGTGTCGGCGTGCTTTGATCTCGGG